CTAAAAATTTAATACAAGATAATTAATAATACAAATAATAATAATAATAAATAATAACCAAATGTTAATTTAAAAGTCTTTACCGTAACAATTAAAATTTATAATTAGCAAAACCTTTAAAATAAATATAAAATCTTATTTTAAATCATAGAAAATTCTAAAAAATTAGGAAAAATACAAATACTCTTTTTAAAAATAAAATTTAATATTTAAATACCAGAAAATTTATTTAAACCAGTATTGAAAATTTACGGTCATTACATTCATTTTGAATTAAAATCTATAAACATGGATTATTACTTTTACCATAAATTTTATCTAAACATTTAAAAAAAGTATGAAATAAATTTATGTGTAAAACTGGGATCAATATACTTTTATATACTTACATACACAATATTATTTTTTAAATTTGTATATATTAAACTTCATGTAACATATTTGTTTATCGGATTAAATCATCGATGTCCAATTTGTTTATCCTAGTCATTAAATGTAGTGTTAAGTTTAAAAAAATACAATAATATATTATTGATGTGTTAGTAAAAATATAACAAAATACTTAATATTAAGATGGCTTGTATAAGCTCAGCATAGAGCACATATTTTTCACAAGACTGGAAGACATTTTAATTATTGATAAACTTAAAATAAATAAAATAAATACTAAAGAATAATTGTGACTCTAGTATAATTTTACATGACAAAACCATAGCATATTAAAAATTTTGCATGAAAATTCCTTCTAAATGTTCCTAATTTTACTCAAAAATTAAGTTTTACTATAAAATATTCAAAAAAATATTATCCTTTATCGTTCTTTATTCATATTTAATTGAACCGAGATCAATCATTCTCCACATTTATCTTTTTCCTATGCACTTCTACAGTAGTGCCTTCATCATCTATATCAATTGTGATATTATGTTGGTATATAATAAAGAGCAAAAGACAAGACAAGAGTCTAGAAATATATTAGGATATACTTGGATCAATAAAATTATATTATTACTCATAATTGATATGCATCATAGACAAAATATGTTGATAGTCTTAAACTATAAAACAAACTATTTGGGCCCTCTAACAGAAATTTTTTTAAATCAAGCAACCATCAAGCTTAATTTTAAAAATCTATTTGGGCCAAAACACTAACAAGTTTGCAGTGGAAGATAAGGGAACGTAATACATTCTTAAGAATTATTAATTTTTACTTAATTTGTTTATAATGATAGGATCTCATTATTAACTAACTATAAGGTCTAGTACATTATTTTTTTTATTGGGTGTTTGTAGGCTATCTAAAAATCACTACAGATAGTTTATCCCCATCAGACACCAATGATGGAAGTTACAATCTGACGACTTCCAGAAGGCTACAATTTGAAGACTTTCACGTAGAATGTTACAATCTGACGACCTTTACAACAACTAATGAAAGCTCTAATTCAACAGCATTCATAATCAACATCGGGAGTTATAATCTGATGACTCTCATATTTTTAAGGAGCCAAGACGAATGTTACAAGGTGACGATCTTTGCAACACTCTAGCGAAAGAGACTACAAATTGACGGTCCCTTCATATTAAAACGCAGATATCTCTCAAACCGTAAGGAATTTGGCAAAACTGACGGAGCAAATCGAACCCGATGGGGTGGGTTTGGTCGGCTCCGTCTCGTCGAGATCCGATTTTCATATATAATTCGTCCAATTCCGACTTACGGTTTGAAAGTTATGACCTGTTCTTCGCAGCAAGTTATGTTCTGAAGTCCGTCTGCAAGACTGGACTTCGTCTGAACATTGGACTTAGCCTGAAGCTCGCCGAGCCTGCCTGAGACTCACCTCTGCATCCAAGATTCGAAACGAAGAGGTCATGCCCGCGTTCTAAACTCAAAACGCAGAGGTCGTGACCGCATTTGAGATTCAAAACGCAGAGGTCGTGGCTGCGTTCCAAACTCAAAACGCAGAGGTCGTGGCTGCGTTCCAAACTCGAAACGCAGAGGCCGTGGCTACGTTCTAGAGTCAAAACGCAGAGTTCGTGGACTTAAAGCACAGAGTCCATGCAGAACCCAACTCCGCGTCTCAGGTCCAAAACGCAGAGTTCATCTCTGTGTTCCAACTCTGTGTCTCAGGTCCAAAACGCAGAGTTCATCTCAGTGTTCCAACTCTGCGTCTCAGGTCTAAAACGCAAAGTTCATCTCTGTGTTCCAACTCTGCGTCTCAGGTCTAAAACGCAGAGTTCATCTCTGTATCCCAACTCTGCGTTTCAGAGTTACAACGCATCGTGGCCTGTACGTTCAGCCACCCAACATAGGCCCAACTCTGCGTTTTTAGTCTAAAACGCAGAGTTCGGGCCCAGAACGCCATTTTCGACGTTTGACTCATTCAAACACGAACCGAACAGTTCCAAGAACCATTTTCCCTCATGATTTGAGGGATTTCCGCCCCACTTAGGAGCAGATTAAGGGGGTAGTTACCACCCTTAATCCCCTATAAATACCAGAAACTCAATTGAGTTAAGGGATGGGCTTTTTGCATCAAAAACAGATCGCAAAAGGAGAGATCGGCAACCTCTTGAGCAGAGCATCTTCGGATCTTGGGGATTTCTCGGATCTGGAGATCAGAAAAGGGGGGTCTTCGCTCAATCTCTGGAGCATTCCTTGGAGCTTTCATCCCCGGCTTATTAACCGATTTTCGGTTCAAATCAACTCTGTTACAGAGTTTAAACTCGTTCTGAGTTTCTAAACTCGATTTGAGTTATCAACTCGTCCAGAGTTTCAAACTTGCTTTGCAAGTCCTTCACAACATCAAATCGTGAGGAGAAGACCACGTTCCAGTGAATCAAAACGTTCGGATCGTCAACGGAGAGCAAACTCGACGCGAGCACTCGAGGGAGACACTCCATCGCCACCGTGAAGAACCCAGTTTTAAACAAAGGGGAGAGTCAAATTCATTCTCCTCTCTTTTGTAATCAGGAAATCCAAATTGTAATCGATTTTGAGAGAATACCAATTAATTTTTCTTTCATTTCTTTTATGTAATCAGGAAATCCAAATTGTAATCGATTTTGAGAGAATACCAATTAATTTTTCTTTCATTTCTTTTACTGCGAAATTTCCCACAAACAGTGTTTAAGGCAGGCAAAGAACCCAAGTGAGTCCTCATCGCAATGAATGTTATTTAAGTACAAAGGAAAAAGGAGGGTTGATCAATGATGTAGTTTGTGAGGAAAAAACCCAGCAGCTTAATTTTGGGTATGTGGATATATTATAAATGGAGATGGAGAATGGTGGTTTTGAAAACAGTGATGACTTAGGGTAATTAATATTGTTTTTCGTGTGGTTTTCTTAGCTCAATTTCGAGATATTTATGGTCCTGTGGATATATATAGCTATAGTATCGCTACTCTCTTTTGGTTTTGTGGAAGAGTTTGGATGTAAAAAAATTTAAATTATCTAATCCGCTTAAAGTAGGATCATATAAGTTAAGTTTATACATAAAATTTATTTTAACCAACACTCATATGCAAGTATTACAATTGGCATTGAGATCTAAGATACGTGTGAGATTCTCTTTGATTTTTATACAAAATATCTATTTAAATAATAATACTATAATTAAACTTTGTGATCTGAAAAGAAAGATCACATATACAATATAATTAATTGTTTTAAAATAATCTAATCTAATAAAAAAAATAGATGAAAGTGATGTGAAAATTATTATAATTTTATAATTTATATTTTTTAAACAATCTAATATTATCTAATAAGAAGAAAATAACAAATGCATATACTTATTGAAGGAGATGAAAATGCTATGAAAAATTATTGTAATTTCTGATCTGAAAAAAGATCAAACATATATATAGTTAATTGCTTTAAAATAATCTAATCTAATCTAATAAGAAGAAAATAGATGAAAATGTTGTGAAAATTGTTGCTATTCATAATTCATAATATTTAAACAATCTAATTAAATCTAACAAGAAGAAACTAACAAAGGCACACACCTATAGAAGGGGATAAAAATGCTATGTAAATTATTGTAATTTCTTGGCTTATATATATTGGTATGCGATGTTGCATGTGAAAAGATAACATCGTAAATAGAGTTCTGTTTAAATAATAATAGTATAATTAAACTTTAAAACTAATTATGCAGTACTATGAACTACTTGAATTTTAGCCGATGAGAGATCGTCACGTTGTGTTCTTAGATCGTAGTCGTTTGTTTTAATTTTCCTTTTTTATAATTTTGAGAACGACATTTGTCTCTTTAATTTGTTTGGTGGATTTTGCAAATATCTCGTCCACACTATGTACATTTGTAAGTCTGTGCTATTTCTGGGTTCGACCTTTGGGGCAAACATTATTTATCTCGTTAATTTGTTTGGTTTTTGTATATACGCCCTTCATATTGTGTACATTTGTAAATTTGATATTCAATAATTTTATTAAGGTTTACATTTAATGAAAACTATATCCTTATCTTCATACTATATCCAATAAGAAATCATTAATTTATCAATTTATTATTACTTAATGGAAGTGTATTTTTGTCAACCGGAAGATTTTTCCAAACTCGTGTTTTTAAAAGAGAGTATGATTAAAAACACGAGGGGTATATATATACGTAAAAACCCTAGAAAATAATGATGTGACATAAATTCACTTGGATCTCCTGACTGATTGACCATTCAGAGAACTTCATATTACTCCTTGAAAAAGAAAACATCTTATTGTGGTTAGTACTATCTCATGAATGCAGCCACTAGCACTAACCTTTTCCTAAGCGAAGCACAGACATCCATGAACCCCTCGGGAAACGGACCGATCTTTTATAACCGACCCGAACCCGTACCCGCTTTTTCCTCCCCCAATCCTCAGCTGACGTCACATAGCAACGGTCTCAATCCTACGGTCGAGATTCATTCTCCAACCTATCGCAAGCCCCAGCCGTCCGATCAGGCTCCAGTTAATAAATTAACCTCGCTCCCTCTGTTCCGATTTCTCTCATCGCCGCTTCTCTCACTTTGAAAACCACCGAGAGCAGCGGAAGTTGCCGGAGGTCGTTCTCCGAGCCCTAGAACTCCATTTTCAGGTAACAAAGGCGTCTCCTTTTTCGCAAAAAATTATTAATTTTTTGATTATTTTTGAGAGAGATTGAGTTTTTTTTTATGGAACGTTTGTGGATGTGTTGAGATGCGGCAATGGCGGGTTGCTGTCGAGTCTTCTAGGGTTTATTATTTTGTAATTGTTAGGCATCTCAATTTTTTGGGGGGAATTTCATATAAAATTTGTTAATTTTTTTTATCCTGGTTTGATTTTTATTGATCAGTGTTTTAATGTTTGGGAAAATTTTGATTTTAAAATTCATTTTTTACTATTTCATTTTTCGCTTAAACTGTCACTGTTATCTTCTTAGCAATTCTAGATTTTCCGTTGTCTTTCTTTATGATTTTCTTAATTTGGGAAAGACGGGATCTTTAGTGGTTAGGTGATGTTTTCTTTTTTGAAGGTTCAATGCTGATAAAAAGGAGAGATTAAATCAAGCAAGTAAATATTATTCTTTAGAAGAAACGTGGGGTTTTGCTGTATCCTTTTGATTTTTTTCTTTGATTTTCATTTAGTGGGTTGATTTTATTCTTGTTACCTGACTTCAGTTTTATCACTACCTTGATGAGTATAAATAGTAGGGTTTTCCTTGTGAAATAAGCTGTAGACCACTAGATCTTATTCCATATACGTGTCTAATTTTATCGTGTCATCTAGTAACTCTTATAATAGTTTACTACTGTTGTACAATGCTACTCAACTGTTAGACAATCTTTTCACCAAATGGATCATGGTCTAATTAGTGATTAGGAGATGCGATATTATCTATCTTGATAAAGTTATCTGTTCCGTCTTATGTGAGTTTTCTTAAATTTGATACAGTTTGAACAAAACATGATATGAATCATGATCTGATTGAATTATATCTTTACATTGCCTAACTTTTCATTCATTCTTTGTGCTTTCTATAACCTTCTTATTTTCTAGCCCTCTGCAGATGATAGACACTTTGGTAATTGATGTGTGATTCTTAAGATGTTATGTTGTTAAAGTTTTGAGAAAATCGACTTTAAAGAAGATAGCGTTATAAGCACAAGTTTAGTATCTTGGTAGCATTGCTAATAGTAGGAAAGTTTAGATAGGATCACAAAAATGGTGATCATATCACGAAAAAGACGTGATAGAATCAAAAGAAATGTGATCTTTAGAGTAACAAGTGCAAACAATACGATGCAGTTACCAATGTCACCTGTAATCGATACCTACAGGGGCAAAACAACCACTATCATCTGTAGCATAGTTGCGCAATTCCCCGGAACCCCCTCAAACCATCGTACAATTCTTGTGAACCGATTCCCGGTACATTTACGAACCGATTCCCTCTGATACACGAACTGGTTCCCCAAAATTGGCGTACCACTTACAAGTATGCTAGATGCAAAGCCTCTTTCAGTGTACGTGCACAAGACTCAATGCATTGTGTGTAATTAAGTGAAAGGAGCCACACAATAGAGTGTATGAGCCGATGACTTTACTATAACTAAACACGTATTTAATTAGATGTAAAACGAAACCATGATCCTAAAACAAGTTTCGTGAAAAAGAAAACACAGAACAAAGAAACGAACACCATCTAAAAGAAGTATTTAAGTATTTTGTATAAAAATATTAAAATTCATAATTAGATTTCTAGCTTTCTACTATATACTTTGGAAAACTTTTAAGCGCACCCTAAAAAAATTTACAACATACCACTACCAAACTTGCAAACCGAAGCAAGCTACCCCTAATGAATCCAAATTTTCTAAGTGGCGAATTGCGTACCCGAATTCGTACCATGACCTGCTATGTATCGTGTACTATGTAACTATGATTCTGTAGATTTATTATAGATTTGAAAAATTATGTGTTATTTCAATTGGAATTTTTGCTTCATTGAGTAATTTCTGTGGAATAATATAAACAAGTTGCGTGACAAGAGAACTACGGCTAATATTTGGTAGCTTAAAGATATGTAACTTCTTGATAGTGTGCCAGGATTTCCAGGATCAAATTATGTTTTGATATCTTTTAATTGTGACTTCTAATTGTGGCTCTTGTAGGTTTCTCAAACGGGAACTCTTTTATCTACTTAGTGCCTAGCCAAACTACATCTGCTCAAGGTCAAATGATGTCGTCTGAGGACCAATTTCCTTTACAGCAGCCATACTTGTCTGCTGGACATATTGAAGAAAAAGTTTCCAGTCATTCAGAAACAATGCCTTTGCGTTCACGGAACACAGCACTAGTTGTTCAACATTCACAAGCCAAAACTGAACTTGTTATTCTTTCAGAAACAAAGGCATTGCATTCAGGAGATACCGGTCCTTCCAAGTCAGCAGATCTGAAGTTGGAAAAATCTGAAATTAAACTTGAGCATGAAGCATCTCCAAAGACTTTAGAGTCAAGGCCGCATCAGCTCAATTCCTCTTCTGCCTTTTCTGGTCATTCTGACAAACCTATTAAGGTATGATCGCTTATTTATTTATTTACTGAGATTTTTTTGGCATCTTTAAATGTTATATAGGCTGTGGATGGGGATGGAACAAGAAAAGCTTATGTTTTTCTATTGTAGGCCAAGTTTTCTTTTTTCTTTGTCCATGTACTATTTTAAAGTAGTCCGGACCCACCTTTCTTATCTCATGTTTGTTTTTTATCTACTCCGGATTATTTTTAAGTAGGGACTACGTAATACCCAAAAGGGAACTATTTTAAACTCAAAAGAGGGACTATTTTAAACCAAAAGAGGACTATTTTAAACCCACCCCACCCCATCTTTACAATCCGGGTTCTAGTTATCTAAAGGTGATTAAGATTTTGGAACAAATTTAGCCTTATCCTTTTCCATTTTTCCACGAGATCAATTTTTTTCTGTTCGTTCTGATTTTTTTCACAAGTTTCTTTTTCGGGAGAATAAAAAGAAAACAAAGTCATATATTTGTTTCCCATTTCCTAAGCTGGAAGGATTATGAATGTGCATCTACATTAACAATTAGTCAATTATGCATTTTGTGGACTATTACAATCTTACTACTGGTTGCAGTCCCTCCACCAGTTAGTTACATTCAAAATTTCCACCTGAGAAGAAGCTGATGGTCATAACCAACTTCAGTCTCTGTTATCCAAATGCTCTACTTGACCATGCCATTCTCAAAATTTGTATTTTTTGCTAAACAAATGTATTGATAAAATATTAGTTGAGTGGAGCACAGAAAAATCATTTTGGTTATGATATTAGTCACAACGGTCATAATCCCTTTAAACATAAACTATGGTCTAGACTATTTTGACTTAGTCCGAAGGTTAGTCCGTGTGAAAACAATACTGAACTAGACTAGATTAGTCGAAAGATTACATAGTCCATGGACTATAGTCCATGGGTTACAATATCCCCTAGTCCGTGAACTATAGTCTTGGGGTTACAATATCCCCTAGTCTGCAGATAAAAAAAACAAACAAACGTGACCTTAAGGTATGATCTCTTATTTATTTATTTACTGATTTTTATTGCATATTTAAATGTCATATAGGCTGTGCATCGAGTCGAAACAAGAAAATATTATATTTTTTATTTTATTTTTTATTGGGTTTTTTTTTTTTGGGGGGGGGGGGGGTGTGTTCGACACGTGTGTCCGACACGGACACGACACGACACGGCTTCATGTTATGCGTGTCCGTGCTTCATAGGTTTTACCTTAATTAATCTCACGTTAGATCATTATACAGTTCTTACATAAATAAGCATACAAAAGATGCGCAAAGAATTTTACATTGAAAATTCAAAGATACATAATAAATTAACATAGAATTTGGTGTAGATGGCTGGGGTTTTCAATGTCGAGGCTCCATCCTTTTTCTAGAAAATAAAATACAATAAACATTGAATTTCTGTGAATTTAATGTATATGTATATGTAAATTTTTCTTAAGTTATTTAGCAAGGGAAGACTAATCAGACTATTTGTAGGAATACAAAACTTACGTTAAATAGCTGTTGCTCAAAAAGAAGATATTATCTACACATTAATTTGTATTCCGTCCAGTCTATTCATCTTATCTTGAGGAAATTTCTCAAAAATTCTGTTTGATTACTTACTTTTTATTTCAGAATCTCATATGTGCCTGATATTTGCTTGCTCCTCTGTTTTGATGTGTTCAACTGAAGTATTGTAATCATCTACATCTTCAATTATTAGTAGTTTTTATTGGATATTTAGAACGAATATTGGCAGTTTACCTACTTATTGCAAATATCTGACGGCTGTTTTAGGTCGCAGCTCCTTTTACTGCATATAGAAGATATGTTTTGTTTTTGTCTATCTCCTGTTATGGTCCTATTTCCAACTATAGATTAATTTTGTGGAAATAGGATATGTATATTAATATTACTGAATTTCAATCATTTTCTTGCTAGAGTCAACTCGTGATGTTCTATATCAATTTCTTTATATATCTACTTCTGATTTCATCAAACTGTTAATATAATTTTATGTTCCAGGCTGCACAGATGCATCCTGGTATACAACCTGTTAGAGATTCTCAAGGATATCAATCTTTGACCAAGATATCTTCCACTACTTATCAAGGACACAGTTTTCCTTACCCTAGAAATACTTTCTCTGGATCCACGTCAACTTATCCAACTGCAAACAATAACTACCGGTTTCAGATAAGGGATAAGCCAAACTTCCAAAAAAGTTATGGCGCACCTAATGAGCTAGTTCGTGGTCCTCGTGCCAACAGATTGAAGCCTCATTCAAGTTCATCTGTGGAGAAAGATAACTTGAACCCTTCTTGGCAAGAAGATCAGTATAATAAATCTGACTTCCAAGTTAAATATGAGAATGCAAAATTTTTCATGATAAAATCATACAGTGAAGATGATATCCATAAGAGCATCAAGTATAGTGTATGGGCAAGCACTGCGAATGGGAACAATAAGTTAGATGCTGCTTTTCAGGAGGCGGAGATGGAGAAGATTGATAAGGGTATACAATGCCCAATATTTCTTTTCTTTTCGGTGAGTTATAATTATCTACTTTTTTTTTCTGTTTCATAAGAGATGTAAAATGGCTGCTCTTTGATCCTCAACGTCCAAAAGGGCATTTCTTTATCTATGATTCCAAGTATCTTATTAGAATTTTCCAATGAAACTAGTATAGAAAAGCATAGATTTTTTATCCAAGTAACTAAAACTTACAAAGGATTCTTGGACTTCATGTGATAATNAATATGAGCAGAAATTTTTTTGCATTCCATCTTTTTCAGGTTATGTATTAATTAACTATCTTTCTTTTAATTGACACAACATATTAAAGCGTCCAAATTGCTGCTTGTTTTCTTGGCATTGCCACTCATATCTTTTACTCCCTGTACTAGGATCTTGGAAACTAGTAGGTGGTAATCTCTTCTATTCTATGCAAATGAATTTGTCTTTGTATTGTTGTTAATGGGATCTAGGTTGTATATTGTAACCTGGAAGCTTCAGTATCATTATTTTGATCCGATTTTTCCTGGGTTAATTTAGAGTATTTATAATAGAGAGCCAGTTTCAGCATTTATAATAGCACACACACATGCCTCATTCCCCCTGCTTACGTACTATCTATTCTTCTGCTATTTTACTTATAGCATTTGGTTTCACATTCTACTTCTTTATGTTCATCTTTTAATGCTTGTCTTGTTTCCTCGCATTATTTGGTTCTTATTTTTTCAGCTAATTCTCTTTTTCTCTCTTTTTCAACTAATTTTCTTGCAATATTTCTTTTTCTATTCCGCCTCTTTCCTGACAAGCCTCTGATACATTGATTCGTTCACCTTCCTTTATTTCCTGGAGAAAGTATCCATTGGACCTGGTCCATGACACTAATGGTTCACTGAAGGGGTATCAAGCCTTTGGACCGAAGCACATAAAAAAGAAGAAGAAGAAAACCTGAAACCTACTGATCCAAGGCTGGTGTCATATTGGTGCACCATTAATGCTGTGAATCGGATCCACTAGATTTTTTTCTCATGTACCCGTATTAGATATGAATTTCCGGTTTCGATAAGGATTCATGCTGATACATGTAGTATTTATATGATCGTATACTTGTATTGAAATTTTTCTTTATGAGTCAGGGTATCTAGTTAGTTTGAAAGAAATCAATAGCAAACTCAAGATGGTGTTGATTGGTATTCGACATGGAAGAGGAGCTGGAAAGTTAGTGGGATTTCCAAGCTTCTG